GGCCTCAACGAGTTCTCCTTGTGTCACAGGGGGTACAGATGGCACTTCGATGTCTTCTTCTTTTGGTGATGCCATCTCATATTATTAAAAAGGATGGACGTAGATGATAGAGAGAAATACGTTGACTTAAAGAGATATGTTTATTGTTTGGTCTCCAAAATATAAGTAAGTAAATAATACAATATAAAATAAAATGCAAACTTAAATGCTAACCAAGCAATACGCACCACATGTTGCAGTTAGACTATAAATATCGTCTATCTATTTTACTGCATCATAGGGGTTCCAAAGAATAAAATGTGTAGTGTGTTACTTGTTAAAACACATTTTTTTAAATTTAATTACAAGAAATTCTTAATAATTATATAACAATGTCATAAAAGTTTACTAATTTAATTTACAAACAATTTAGTATTATTCTTATGTGTTATATATTATTTTGCCTTCTATCAAAATTTTTACGTTTGGTGACAAATCTTCACTAACAACATATATGGTCCTAAATAAATATTATCTAACTTACTTCCTACTTGGTTTTTCAACAAAATTAAAACGTTTTTCTTATATTTTACAGTATTTATATGTCTATCGTAATTTATCTTTCTTAATTTTTTCCCGTATAATAAATTATTTCTAGCGTCAGCATGTGCTCGTTGTAACCCGTATCTTAATTCTAAACGATAAGCATCAGGATTATATAAAGATTCTACATCGGACCACAACAAATTATTTGGCAAATTACTAAGCTTTCCAAATACTAGTTCGTATGGAGTGTATTGTGTCTCGGTATGCACGGTCGTATTATATGAAAAACGCCAAAATGGTAGCCAAGTGCTCAAATCAGTTGTATTATTACAACACTGTATCCTAAGAAACGGTCCTGTGTGTGTGTGTGTTTTATGTGTATTCTCTAACGCACCTATACTTTCGTGGTGATACGCGGTCGAGTGGAGTTTATTAATTTTTAACACTTTCGTTCACCTCTCGAGGAAGTGCCATCACCGGAGGAGGCAGTACTTCCCTAGCCTAACTCTTTCGCAAGGAACTCTACTGCTACTAAATGCCGTTGTGTCACATGATCATATTAAATAAAAAAGTTACGAGTTGCTCTGATTACATTCGGAACAGCCTGTAGTGAGTTGGTGCGGCGTCGTGACATTTTAAGAGTCGTATTTTAGAACTCTACTCAATGCTCAAGTCAGGACTTGAGTATGATTCAAAGCACTAGAAATCATACTCAAGTCCTTGCCATTAGGGTCGTATTTACAGTGCTTGAAATCATATTCAAGTCTGCTCAAATCCTAACTTGAGCATTGAGTAGAGTTCTGGAATACGACCCTAAATATTGTGAGAAGAGTGCGCTCCCGCTGATGTGAGCGGGTCGAGTGCGCCGAGCTGGCTGCGTCCACTTTAATATTTCACAAGCCATTAGACCTCAGTTTCGTGACTTCTTATAATTGCGTTAGTTATAATTGCTTCAGCAGACAATCTATGTAAATTATAAAAAATTCAGTTTTACACTCTAAAGTTCTAACAACATTCAAAAAAACTTGATTAAAATCTGGTGCCCACGGCTGCGTAGAAGAAGTAGATACTTTGAATAAAATAAAAGGGGTTCGAGAAGGGTCCTAAAGGATTGGCGTCAGGCTCGTGACGCACCTGGTGTTGCAAGTGTTCATAGGCGACGGTGATCGCTTTCATTCAGCAGCTTGATTTTGATTGCCTCTCCCGATCGGAAACTGCTTCTTTTCCGAGTCGAGGCGCAAATTGCGATTCACAACTGGCCGATCGGAAACTAATGACATTTCTAATCGGAACAATAATTGGTTTAACTCACAAATTAGATAGATATAGTAGGAATCAGGTTCATCTTCTCGCTCAGAAACCCATCTGATTTCGAGACTACCCGGTCGGATCAATTCAGATTTGAATCAAAATCAGAACGCAGGCGGGTGTAAGCTTGTTTGCTGCCTACATAATATAAATAAAAGAGTGGCCTACGTTTATTAATTTTCATAGATTTATTGATTCCCCATACAAATTTGTCCCGTATTTCACCCCCTTTAGATTTATTTTTGTGACAAAAAGTATCCTACGTTCTTCTCCTAGGTCCCATCTATCTCTATACCACAATTCATTAAACGTGGTTCGGTGGTTTAGTTGTGAAAACGTAAGAGTCAAACTTTCGTATTTATTATTTTCAATTTACAAGTTCAAAAGTAATCAGAAGTAATCATTTGTTTGTCAAATTTACGCTGAATTTAAACATAAACTAATAAAGACTTCAACGGGCGGGTTATCCACCTTCACCAATATTGACAGCTTTGTCTTCATCGTTCTTTTGTTTGGTCGTTAATTTCCACGCGTATAAAATTACGCGATCGACCTGCATTAGCGCGATATTATCTATAAAGCATCTTTATTTCTGCGTTATGCGAATCTGAGTCGACAACGATGAGCTTCAGAAATTCGAAATAAAATAAAAATGCTATTGAATATTTTTAGAGTGCTCGCTTCGACGTAGCGACACCTATTGAAGAAACATTGTAGTTTTAATGTTAACAAGAAAGCTAATCACAGCGCTGTCTGTTGGCTAATAGTTTTCACATAACTCAACAGATGGCGGACGAATGATGTGATGTATCGCCATCTATTAAAGAAACTTTGCATTACTTTTTACTACAGAGTAATTAAGTAGGTAGTGCAAAATTAATACGCACTCTCGGAACAGTTTTAGTGTATCCAGTATAGTACGGGACAAAATACACTACCGAATTAAACATTTTTATAGCGCCATCTATTGAAGTTTATCAAAACTACTACGTATAGTTTATTCGTCCAGAGCAATGAGTAATATTACTTACTATTCACCGCTAGATGGTGATGATTATTTTACAACATGCACCTTGCCAAGACATTCCTTATTTTATTAAAATATTACAGTTTTTAAAATAAGAACTTTTTACCATTTTTGGCTTCTTGTTACTATACATAATTATTCCACTATATTGTTAAGAGCTAGTATACTAATTATAATGGAAACAGCTTTAGAAATCACGAACCAATTTTATTACTTTCCAGAATCAAACGCTTAAGCCCTTAAGCTTAATATCACAGCTAATCGCTACAAACCACGCCATAAACTAAATATTTAATGCGATTTAAGACAGGAAGGCAACTTATTGTTTTTTTATTTATTAATGTCCACTGACTATTCTTGTTAACTTTACTGACCTATCTACTACCTATCCGAATTTCCTCTTCCTTCTGCATCAACACTACGATACTAAACTGTCAAATTATGATAAAACAACGTAGAAAAAAGTACATAAGTATTTAAAAATACTTCACTTGTTACGTTCCAACTTCTATAATAAGTTATTTTATAAACGTACATGTACCTGTCACGAGGCTTTATTTAATTTTAAAAAAGACAACGCAATTGTTTCATAAATTTAGTTTCTTCACATTACTTTGTTGAATCATATTCTAAATTGGTCTGTGGTACGGAGTTTTTGGGACTTTTTAAATCTTCAATAATAACTTTACCTGTAAAGCGGCATGCATATTGTCTACGCACAATATAGTACAGCTACTCACTATGATAGTATTTAGGTATATTTTCCCATGTGACTAATGTACTCCCTGACAAAGCCAAAATTACACATTCAAATTTCCAACAAGGACATTCGAAAATGACATTCAGTGTACAAGCTTCGAAATTGAATTCATTCATTGCAAGCTTAGGGCATTTAATATTGAAAAGTCTACATGACTTGAATTATGTGTCCGGGAGTGTAATACTTATACCATCGACTATATCACCAGAAATAGAGACGAAATGTCACTTAACTTGTTTGAAAACTATTCTGCCACATCATTCCGGTGACCACTGCGCTCCGATTGGCCAGCCCAAATGCGAAACAATTGACGGGTGTCGTTAATTGTTTCACTTCAAACGACCAGCTTAACTTGAACTTTGCTATATAATAAATGAAAATTGTATAAAATTATATATTTAATTACCGATGAAATTCGGTTTGTTTTGTAATTAGATATTTTGCTGTTTTTCCCACACACCGAATGGAACAACCGCCCATAGTTAGAGATATTATCTTTATAACAATAAATACAGAATATTTTTAGAATATACGAAGACGTACGACAGTTGATGGCGCTGTACTATATCAGCTTTCTAATTTATGTTTTCAGTGCAAATATGAGTTGATATTTAAAAGTTTACATCACTTTTACGGCCCATTTGCGTAATACGTTGCCAGGAGTGGATGGCCCTTATTTTGTCTCTATTTCTGGTTATATACTCTATGACCTATACTAACAATGAAAAAAGGTAAATAATTACGGTCTCTATACTGGATTTAAGTGCTAAAGAAAAGTTAATAGGGTTATGCTGCCCTCTTGGTCATAACTAACGTATTTGGATTTCGGTAACTTTCGAGAACCTACCTAAAGTTTTTTTTGTTGGTAAAAATGTCAACTACGCTGATTTTGCTTAACAATAACACTGAAACTAAATAAACAAAATAAAAAAAAATACGATTGGAGGGGGTTGTACCTCTAGATCTCGTTTCGCTGATCCCAAAATAATATATAATAAATCTCAATTTCGGATAGTTTTCTCAATCAAATTTAGGTGGAAAATATTATTTACGTCAATACAACATCACGTGGCGATGGTTGATTTCGCATAACAGTGAAAGTGTCGAATGAATCACTTTGGAAAAAATATATAGTAAAATTGAGGATATAGACCCCGCCAAATCATGAAATATTAAATAATACTTCAAGTTACTACATATCACTTCATGATTATGTTCTAGAATATTTAAAAAATAGAAATTGCCACCAAAATTAGGTAGAGAAAGCTAACCTAAAAATTACCCGTTCGCTAAAAATTTCGTTTACGTTAGTTTTAATAATATGGGTAATATGTAAAGTAAACTTTGTACGAAAAAATCCATAAGGTTTACAGTCCTGTCTCATTTACAAGTATAAATGTCCACTTCCTGTGTACAAGTGTCGCACTGAACAAAACAGCAATTTACCATTCTACACTTGCATCTTGAGGTTACAGACGTCTTAGAGGTGTTGTACCCCCTCCCGCAACACAACGTCGCGCAATTATGCCTGTCTTTACACATCCGGCCCCGCGTACTCAAACACAAATTCGGCGTCTTATGTAAATAAACCAAATTCTTCTTATCAACATTCAACCTTTTTCTAACCTTTGGAGTAGTCGCTCTTTTCGATGTATAATTGACAATCTTTCTTTTAACAGCGTGGTGATAATGCTTCTTTAATAATCCCATTGCGGAATTGAGCGGTCCCAATCGCTTCCAGCAAGTCTTAGTAGTGCACGATCCGGAGAACCCATGGCATTTACACACTTCCCTTAATTGCTCTCCGATTGAATCAATGCCCATTACGACGTCTTGCTTCAAGATTTCGGCAATATGATCGTTGCCTGCCCGTTTGAACTCTAGGAAATTGCGCGTTAATTTCTTGCCATATTTGAAGTCGTCCCCGCAACCGCTGCCCTTCCATTGCGTGGCGTTCTTTCTGAATGCCCCCAAACAAGAGCATTTGATAAGGTCTCCTGAAGCACAAGCTTTGGCGGTTGCGTGAGTTATTGACGCTGCTATGAGGGCGTACACGAAAGCCGTTTCCCTAAATATTTTCTTGAAAATGCTTCTTTTGGGTTTGTTGTTGAATATGAGAGAACAGTTCCACCTGTCATAGTGGAAGGTCTCTTCGCAGGCATTGATTGCTTGCGTCCGGGCCGCACGCAGAACCTCCAACAACGCGGGCTCGTGTGCGCACATCTTCGCTTGCTGAAGAGACGAGCGCACCAATTTGCAAGCCCCGGGGTATATTACATCAGATCTCTCTTTGAACAGCGCTTCTACTGTTTTTTGCAACACTGGCTGAGATCTGTGAAATGATAATATGAATGTAAATTCAATTATGAGTCGTCGTTTATCATTACCAGTAATTTCATGTGAGATGCATGAGATGTAGTACAAAGATAAATTTAAAAAAAAGGTGACTAATTCTACAAAAGCTAATTTAACATAATTGAAGTACTGATTTTCTCGGTCCGGAAGTTATGGTTAAGTCGTCATTCAAATTACTCACCCTTCGACGACTTTCGAAGCGAAAATTGACGCGGAAAATAACATCAACACAGTTAAAACACTATAACTAAACATTATGAGATCTGTTAACCATCACATTATAAAAACTGCACTTCATGTAATCTGCGAAGCAATGGAGACATTGCAGGGTGCAATTCCGAAATGAGCTCATAGTGAGACTAAGACAAAGGTGTAACAGATAGGTTATCGAAGTGGGCTAGGCAACGCCTAAAATGGACAGGGTAAACTTGGAAATCAATGTTCATACAAAGCTGGCGAACGTGCGCATATATGAAATGCGTAGGTCATTGTTTTTGTCACAGACGAAAATTCTTGGTGCCTAATTGCAAAAAATATCATGAAACATCATCATCATCTCGCACATCATTTTCCGGTAAGTACAGATGACGCTAAAATTTGTTAAGCGTTCAAATTGAATGGGTGTTGATTTGCATTCTCGCCACATTTAAGAAATTAATAATAGAAATATCCTAAATCATCTAAAGATATTAAAAAATATTCTGTTCAATATTCGGGCTAATTGTATCTAGTAAGTTTTGTAAAATTGTCCCGCAAGTGTACTCACCGCAGAGGACAGTTAACCCGCCACTCGCTTCACCGAGCGATACGGAATCTTTCTCGATCGCTTATTTACCTATTTTTTAAATCATGGGTAGGACTATACAATACCTACCCTTGAATTTTGGGGGGAGAGGGGCGGAGGGGGGAGGGGGACCCCTAAGTACCCCCTGTGAGCACGGAGTTATGGAACCCTCCCTTTCTGAGATATATGACAAAGCAAATTTAACCTCAAAACAGCAAAATCGCAAAATTGTAATTGATTCTCTTAATGGGGGTGAGGGGCCCTCCCTCCTGAGCCCTCCCTGTGAGCGAAGAGTTACGGAACCCCCCCCTTCCTCAGTTATATGATAAAGCAAATTCGTACTGTTTTTTTATGAAAAACTATTATTTTATAAACTATATAATATGTACTAACCAAACCTTTTTTTACTCGGAGAAATGTGTTACGCATACCGCGCGTCCGGGGGAGGCGCGGGGTTATGTCGGACTCTCCTCTCTAAGAAGAGAGGCCTACCCACTAAAACTCCGGGGGTGTTCTTCCACGCGCCTTGTGGCGGGAACGCGGGGACGTTTCCGCGTTCTTCCGCGAGAAAGAGTCAGAGTCCAAGGTGGGAATAGTTGACTGTTTGAGGACGGGGTTGTTCCCGAGATGCTGGTAGGAGGGATGGTCCCCATGCAGAAGGCTATACGCCAGGGTGACCCGAAGTATGGCCTTATACGGGGCTCCCAGTGGGTGAATGGGGCCTTATCAGCGGCGACGAAATCGCTGCCTCAGAGGGTGGTCGCCCTGCGAATGTGCAGGGCGTACATGACGGTAAGCTAGGGCGGCCGGGCGGCGTCGTGGTGAATGTTCACTGATCCCACGGCGCCGACTCAACCGGCGAGAGGGAAACCTGGGGGGGTTTTAGTGGGGTAGGTCCTCCAGTCTGGAGGGAGAGTCTCCCTGGGCTCAGGGGTATCCATAAAGATTTCTCCCCCGTCAAAAAAAGAAAGTAAAAAAAAAAGGGCGTACATGACGGTGGCCTGCGCTGCCGCATGCATCTTCGTCGGTACTCCGCGGTGGGACCTTGAAGCCGAGGTCCTGGCGGAGGCTCACGCCTACCGGCGGAGAATGAGGGACCGAGGCGAGTGCCCTGCTCCCCAAGAGGTCGAGCGGGAGCGCCGCCTCGCGGCGCAGCGTATGCGGGACCGGTGGAAAGAGAACTTGACGGATCCCCCCTATGGAGCTCGTACCATAGGGGCGATCCGTCCTGTCCTCGTAGAGTGGGTGAGCCGGTCCCACGGGCCACTGGCGTACCACCTTGTGCAGGCGCTGATTGGCAATTTCGGTCACTACCGAGGCGAGGAGGGAACCGTCCCCGTGCGGCGCTGCGGTTGACACCGCGTAGCACACCCTAGAGGTGTGCAGCCGGTGGAAAGAGCAGCGCCGTACCCTAACGGGGACAATAGGGCAGGACCTCTCGCTGCCGAGTGTGGATGCCGCCATGCTCGGTAGCGAGGAGTCCTGGGAAGCGGTGGCCTCCTTTTGCGGAGAGGTTATGTCGCAAAAGGAGGCTGCGGAGCGGGTGCGCGAGGAGGCGGCGGACGCGCACCCACTTTGGTGCAGACGTACGGGGAGAAGGCGAAGGCAGTTCGCTGCTCGCCTGATCCCCTAGTGAGGCAAGCGGGCTCTGGACAGGGACTCCGGAGCCTGCATTGTACGGCCTCACTCGTCTGGGGGGCGGGTCGGAGGACAACTGACCTGCCCCTCCGTTAGCGCGGGTGCCCTGGCGCAAGCTATGGCGGCCGGGCGGCATCGTGGTGAATATGCACCGACCCCACGGCGCCGACTCAACCGGCGGGAGGTAAAGCCGGGGGGGTTTTAGTGGGGTAGACCCTCCAGTCTGGAGGGAGAGTCCCCACATAACCACTGAGTCTCCCTGGGCTCAGGGGGTATCTATAAAGATTTTCCCCCCGTAAAAAAAAGGTGGGAATAGTTCACCCTGTTCTCCTAGTCGCAAGGGACTGCCTGGAAATACTAACCTAACCTAACCTACTGAATGGGGGGTGGTAACGCCAGGTATAGTTTGTCTGAGCTCGCACCTTCTTACCTTTCCCGTCCTAATCCGTGCTACGCCAAGCCACATAAATTGCCAGTGAAAATTAAAAATAAGTGTGACGTTACATTCAAATTGCAAAATCCGCATCCGCATCGCAAATATTTTATTAATTTAAATATCCCGCTTCTCCGCCCGGCATTGAGCCGCGTACGCAATAATTTACATGGTGGCACTATTGGTGATCGGCCGCAAGTGAAGTGTGGGAAAGAAGACGAAGTTTACAACGTTTCGGACATAAAGGTTGGTGGTAGCACGGCTTCCATTTCCTTTTACTTGCGAGCTCATCTATCCCGCAGCTCCCCACGAGCTATCGAAGGTCGTTTTTAAATTTTTTTATTATAGCGTCACCAGGGGGTACAACCAAGATTTGACCTATGTAAAATAAATTTGTTTTCTTTCAATCTTAAAGCTACAATTATTTATATTAATATTAATTTACGCTTTTTAATTCAATGCTGCAACAACCAAACGCCGTGCTTTCCCAACCTTCAAAACCTGTTTCCTATCGTTGGTTTTCGAATATTTCAAAATTTTTATTATCAAAACTACGAGTTTCAGTAAGTTAATATATTAGGATTGGATTACTAACTATGTAATCTATTCACCATATTAATTTCAATTTTCAACTCGAGTGTAGGTATTGCACAGTTGAGTCCTTAGATTTGGTAGGTACTTACCAACTTTAGATTACATGAAAGTAGTGCTAGAAGTACCTAGCTTCCACAGCTGGTGGCAGGCTCCGTACCGGAGCCAGACATGACAGACATGCAGAGTTTCGTTTCAACTTAGCACATTCTTCACAACAGAAAAAGCAGAAAGAAACCACAGACGATTTTTGCCCGCAGACGCAATACGCATAGTGGACTGATGATCTACCAATCACGCGCTCGATACGATACTCCCCCATCTCTACTCGTACCCTGCCACCAAATAGATCTAATACATATTTTCTGCACATACTGCGCATAGGTCATTGTTCAAATGGTTGCCGGTACCTGGGACACGTGTAAAGCAAGTCAATGCCTTTCCAAAAATCCTAAACCTTTGGATCAAACTTGGTTACCGCAATTAAATAAAAACATAAGAATTTAGGATTTTCTTTTATTTATTTTTTAGTAATTTGGGTTCAGTTTCGGGTATAGAATGAACTCTATAAATATAGCGAGAATGCAAATCAACACATTATATATTTGAAAATTTGATAAATAAAGAAACCTAATCAATTTTACATGTTTTAAGCAGAGACACCAATGACAACGTATTGCAGAGGATGCACCAAGGCTCCTGATAAAAAGGAGGAAACCGCAGCACCTCAGACACATCATGCGGAGTGAAAAATACTCTCTTCTGCGACTCATTCTGCAAAGAAAAGTTCAGAGCCGCAGAAGACGTGGTCGTAGAAAAATCACATGGCTTCAAAATCTTGCAGAGTGGTTCAACATGAGTACCACAGAACTGTTCCAAGCCACAACTTCACGGAGTCAAGTAATAATTATTATATCATTGTATAGCTGACCTCCAGTAGGAGATGACGTCCCAAGAAGGAGATGCTTTTAAATATTTTTAGATTAACTCTCAATTCTAAACCAAAGGCTCAAGTTGAAAGTCCTTGGACCGAAAACAGCATTGTCGTTTCAAGAAATTTATACCGATTTGACGAAAATTGTATTTTTGCATTTTAATTTAACTACTACACCTACCCACTATCTATCTGTATTGACATACATATACATAATTATATGTTGTGTTTGGCTTGTAAAGATGAAGAGGTCTTCAACTTGTCGCATCCATTTTCTGTCGACAGTCTTTCGCAGAGCATTACTTCATATGGGCGGAGGGCGTCCAGCACTACGTTTGTCGAGTCAAAGCCTCAACACAAGAACTCATTTTTCCATCGGTTATTGGTTCTTCGTCAATTATGACCAGTCCACTGGTACTTCAGCTTCTTATTCTACGAGTTATGTCCTTGAGTTTGGTTCTCCGTCAACGAATATTATCTTTCGGAGCAAACACAAAGAGCGGTTGATGCAATATGCGGTT